ACTACAAACCAAGGATGCTTTCTATACCCATCCTTCCCAGGTGCCCCCTCTCGCAGTGAAGCCCACTTTTGCCTTCAGCCTCCAGCCCTTCACTGCCTCTCAGTTCCACTGTTAACTTGCTCTTGGTTGGTAGCCACACATGGACACCAGAAATCTGACATATCTATCCTCATGGGAAGTGTTTTTACCCCATGAACAAGGGTCCTCATGGTGACTTTTAAGGAAGAGAAGACATATTGGCACATAAAGCCCAGGGTAGCCAGACTCGAACTCACAGCTCCTGGGCCAACCGTGTTTTTAAGCGTGCCGTGTACTCTTCTTCTGTTCTCTCTATTGTATGGTCTCTGGCAAAGTTCCATTATAAAAAGAACAGCTATGGAGGAAACTGGAAATGTGCTTAAATTCCTCCACTCAGCAACTAGGTGCAATGACATTATCAAATACAAAATTTCACCCCTAAGCCAGGAGACAGGAAGACAGGATGTAGTTCTGTGTCACTAAAGCTATCCAAGGAAGGAGCATGGCTGCTGGACATCTTCCATACATAAACAACCCACTGAAGAAACTCTACAATCTCTTTACAGCTGCCATGTGCTCTTATATGTTCTAAAAGCTATCTTCATGATAAGGGGTATCTGGAAGCTGCTCTGGGATTTAGTACTTTTCCAGAGAGACGGTACAGGACAGTCAGTATGTTAGTGCAACTTGCCACAGTCATCACCCAAGATGAACAAATCAAAGCCAAAAAAAAAAAGAAGATATGCAACGTATGTTCCACCAAAATGAGGAGAAAACTATTATGTTGGCACTTTAATATTGTTATTTGGTTTCACGTGTGTAATCATTTCTCTTTATTTTGTGATCCTCCCCTGCCCCACTAAAGTGGAATGTATGCTTTAAAAAATTCCAACAGTGCATGTGAAGCCTTCCAGTTTTGCACTCTCTCATTACAGAGGCCTAAGAAATGGAGGCTCCTCCAGACTCGATGGCTCAGCGAGGCAGGCTGGACATGGAGAGCTGACTTCCAACAGGCACTCAGTGACTTCAGTAAGTCAGAAATAGCGACTTCTAGATGATGCTAAGAGACTATGATCTGCCTATGGGTATACAACAAAACAACACACAAACCACATAGAAATAAAAAGCAAGGAGCAGCATGAAGTCAGTCAATAGCCCTGTGCACCTGAAGTCTGAGTGTCAGTCACTAGCTTCTGCCCTCACTCATTGACCACTCTATGTAGAATCTGTAAGGGTTTGTCTCAGGCTGGGCCCCAGCACACAGCAAGCACCTGCCTCAGGACAGGGTTTCAAGGCCAACAGAAGGATCTTGCTGACTCAGTTAGCTAGCTCTAAAGAAGCTTAGACAGTTTCTCTATGAAAACTTCAGTGGTGAAGGCTGGGCACTCATACAGCAGATACGCTTTCCCAATAAAGACTGGAAGGATTGTTTAAAATAATATATCCAGCCTTGAAAGTCTATTACAAATAGATAATATCAGAAGACGCAGTTACTTCATAAACAATTAAGTGAAAGACATGATAAAAATAACTACAGGTTCTATAGACCCAAGCTCTTTCTTTCAGGCCATTAATGATCTAAATATAATGAAGGGCAGGGGGATTTTCAGACTGTTCGGTCATAACATCCCCATCTTTGGATCGTGTATGATTAGAAGAGTTTATTATGTAAATGAAGCCCAAGGCTTATTACTGAAATAGGTCGCTTGAGAAGTCAATTCTAAACACGAAGGAACTCCATATATGTCACTCTGCCACTTGTCAAAGCAAACAATTGTGTGCAGGAAGGTTAATGAGGGGGGCCTAGAGTTCTATCATGTCACTTCTTAAGGGACCCCAGTGGAGAGATGGTGAGTATGGCATACATTCCAATTATGCACTCATGTGTATTATAAAACCCAAAGATGCAGTGACTTTAAGTTGGGTTAACACTACAAGTCAAATGAGAAGTCCTTATTAAAAAACTGGGACCAGATCCTGTCAGCTATAACTGGGAAGTATTGGTAACCGGGCAGATGATCTGTAGGTCTGACCATCACAGTTTGGACAACAGTGATAAAAGAATGTTCTAGAGAAGGAAATAGAAATGACTTCCATCGAGCACAGGCAACAGACATGAGGCTCTGCACTCCTGGGAAACAGCTCAATATCAGCAGAGCCATGTGTACTTCCCCACTGGGATACACCAAACACTCCCCCAAACACACCGGCTTTCACGCCTACAATCCCCAATAGAAACCACCATATGATGCTCCTGACACTGGCTGGGGTCAAAGTGCCAACCAGCTGGATGCTAAGACTTAAAGTCAAAAACTCAAATACTGACATTATTTCCTATCTCAAAGTAAATCAATCCTTTGCAGTATTAGAAAGATACTTGTGAATCTGAGCTTTTCCTGTTGTGCTACCCACAACTCTTTACGAATATCCTGGTATTAAAGATTATTGCCTGCATACACTTTCTTTCTGAAAAATACATATGCGATTGTGTGTGTGTGTCTGTGTCTCTGTGTGTTTGTATGCATCCTGTATACATCTGTTTGATAGGAAAACTGGGGACTTTTTCAAGTCCCTTTTGGTACTATTTTAAAATATGATCTTATCATTTCCCTCCTTTCAAGGAAACTTGTACGGCAAAGGACACTGCTATGGTGTCGGTGAGAAACTGGCTTCTACATGTTGCTAAGTATTTGAATACTCTCTTCTGCTTGTGACGTAGGGGAAGCCTTTCAACTTTGCTGCAAGCAGCACTGGGCTTCCTGAAAAAGTCCTGAGCCACTCACAGGCCTGGGAATATCTTGTTAGAAGAAACGTTCCCACAGTGCTTTATTGCTTGCAACAGGCCAGCCAAAATGTTTTTAAAGGTGGCTTCTAGCTGTCAAACGCACAGAGGAATCTTGTGTGTAGAGTAGGAGGGCTTTCTGGTTGAGACTATCTTGCTTCAGCCTCTTGAATTACAAGCCACTCCATGCTTTGACATGGAAAATCCTAACTCTAAGGACAGTTCTGAGGGCCAGAGTAGTGAGAAGCATATTAAAAACCTGTTAATGTGGCCTAATGAGTCCTCCAAAAGCAAACAAACAGAACCGATAGGTGCCAATGTTGGGTAGATGGCTATTTTAACTACAAATTAAACTGTATGCAGAAGTCTAAAACCTCCTGAGCATTGATGAAGAGCAGTTACGACAGGCTCGGGCACACGATGATGCACTAAGAGATGTTGCTAAAGCACTCATTTAGCCGCGTTTTGTGTACATTATTTCAAATGGAAGGTTAAACCTTTAATGTTTACCAAGCTTCCACTTGCCCGAGGTAGGAAACTGAGATTTTCAACACCATCGTTCTGAATATGGGAGCCTTTGGCAGAATTCAGCTTCAGGGTCAGGCATTCCCCATCTTGGGATGTGCTGATCTCTTTAAGCCTTTCTTTCTCCACTCACCCGGAGCAGATAAGATTGGAAGATTCTAAAGGGGACTATTTCATGTTTCATTCTGTATACAAGTCATGCTAGATCATGGCACCCATTAAAAGTCTTCAGTTGCGCTCGTGCGTGTGCGTGTGCGTGTGCGTGTGCGTTTCCAGAAGTTTAGCTTCCATTTATTTTACCTACTTCATATCTTCAAAGATGGCCCTATTATCTTACCACCCCATCTACCTCGTTTCATCTCAGAACGCTTTTATTTTCATTTTATGGTAATTATTCCATTAACTATCTAACTTACTACCTTCTCCTTTTTCTTTTTTGTTATCCTTAGAAACCTATTCTCTACGTACCATTTTAGCTTCAGAAACTGTTTCTTCGTCTATGTGGCATTTGAAGCTACAGACAAGATAATTACTGCCCGTGACCACCTCTGCTTTAATCACTAATCATACCAAGGAACACTAGATGAATATACAGTGGACTGCTGCTTCTGTGATGTAAAAAGCAGATGGTAACAGGAGAAAGGCAGACGTCCAACCTAATGATACTGGTAAGGCAGCCAACCTGGGGCCAACTATAACTCAAGAAACTGAAGGCCGAGGAAAGAGCAAACAGTGTAACTCGAGGGCTACGGATGTAACATGGCGGTCAAGTACTTGCCAACCTGCATCGGGAGTTTCATCCTAAACACTGCAACTTAAAACAACGACAAAAAGCCCACAAAGAATACTCCCTGAATCCAAACAAATTATTAACCAGAATCCATTGTTTAAATCCTGTGAGCAGCTGTCTCTTATGTATTAGATTCCAGTGTATCAAGATCACAAACACCGGGAACAAGCCTGCTTGGCGCAAACTGTAATGTACGCACAGTAGGCATGTGTCTCAATGGGCACAGCTCACAAATGCACTCCAGGTATACTTCCACTGATATCTATTCTCTATTCCTGAAATAATGCCACAGTGTTATGACAGACATGGGGGTCCTATTCAGGCAGCACACCCATAATTACTTCCTCCTTCATCAGGACTCAACGTGTCCCACATGTACTGGCGCGTCTCTGTAAACTCCATGCTTCTAAGCTCTGAGCTCTGCCTGTCTGGACTGATACTGCCATGGCAAATTGTCCCACTATTACTCTTTGCTCTCCTGGCTCTGAAACACAGTTCTTAGAACAGAATGCACAGTAATGAATGAGTGGATGGATGGATGGACAGATGGATGGATGGTGAGAAAAAGCATTACACAGATTTACCTATCAAAACCTCACCCAAGGTCCTTAAAGATGATTTGTTAGTGGAGATGCTGAATCCCTTCATGTAATTTACTTATTTTAACACTGTAAGAATCCTGTCAGGTTTGCCCCTGCTGAGTAGTTATATTTAATTAATACTGTTACTACAGGGTCCCAAATTTCAATTATTTAAAAGAAAAATAAATGAAAAAAGCTTCTCAACAAATTATTTACCGTGGTAATTTAAAGGAAACAGAAATGAATACAAACCTACTTAGCTTATCCTAATTCCTACAAAATAAAGAGAGAGAACTATACTTACATATAATGTAGTAATCTTTGTTCTTCTGAAATTCTAGACCCCAGAGGTTAGGGCTGAATTCTTGAAACTTGATGGTGAATTTCACATCTTGGTCTGGTCTGGCACAGTTGAGCAGTGGGGTATTTTCCTTCTTAATAGTGCATCTGTCTGCTTGGTCTTTATCAACCATATAAACTTTATAATATTCATACTGGCCAACAGTTTTAGAGTCCACTTTGGGGCAAATAATATCCAATTTGTCTCCTATCTGTGGGTATAGTACCAGGCCTTGTCCGGGTAGAAATCTAAAAAAGCATAAAAGAGAAGCCACTGAGTTGATAAAAGTGAACAGTCATCAAAGAGCCAGGTGTTACCAGTCACCCCAACCAGGACAGCTCAGCATTGTGCTCTGATTCACCAAAGGTGTCTTCCTGGGACAGAGAGCTTTCCTGAGGCTTTTAGGATTAACCCCAAAAACAAAAGGATGAACTCTTCTTCCTTTGAGGCATCAGGACCAGCTGCCTGATGACACTTGGTTCTCACCCTGCCCTTACAATATTCCAATATTCTTTTGTGTAACTTTACAACAACTCTTCCCCCGGCTGGTGAGTCAGACCTTCCCACCTGTTTGTTATTTTTTAACCATTGGCATCTCGGTTTATTGGGCATGCCAGAGAGATCCCATCAATTCCAGGAACAGAGCGTGCACGGAGCCTTTGTTGTCCTGGTAGTCTCCATGTGCTGTTGATGTTAATTAACAGACAAGTTTCATCAAGAATGTTTCAAATTACTTATCATAATTAGTCAGTCACTGATCAAACAATGGGTTTTTTATTACACAGAACAAAAGAAATGTCTTACAAACCCATAAAAGATAACCAGAAATAATTAGTGTCGTATTGATTCAGCTGCAAGATGAAGAGCCCTCTCCTTGTGAGGACAACAAGTACCCTCCTTGCTCTACAAATCTTCCCTTTTCCCCTCCCTTGAGATGCATTTGCTCCAATTAATTCTTCGAAGGAAATCTTTAGAACTAAGACTACTGATACAAAATCCTTTGGATGTTCCCAGCTAAGAGCTCTCCTCCTTTCCTCTCTGGCTGGCCATGTTGCTGAAAGATCTTCCCTAATGGGGAGTTTCTCTGAGCCGCTGAAACAAGAGCTTCCTAATGAACATCCTTCTGCAAGCGCTAACACTAACAACACACTCAGAGAGAGCCGCCAAGCCTGCAGGCTCATTAAAATATTAAAGCTCCGGAACAAAGCACGGCCTTCCAGTGTTTCCAGCCTGGGCTATGGCTTTATTTAGCCAGAGAGGCCCACCAGCCACGATGACCCTTGGGGCCAGGATGCAGCAACAGATGAGAAAAGGATGATGGGGCTCCCAAAGTTCAAATCCACACCAGCTAAGGTGATTTATGTAACCAGGCACCAGTTCTCAGCCAGTGTATTATGTGGTTACAAAGTAGCAGATAGCCCAGCTCACACTTGTAGACTCATATTCAAAACTGATACTTTAAATTTTGTTTTTAATTTTGTACATGTATACAATGTATCTTGGTCTTACCCATGTTCTACTCCCTCCCTCCAGGTCCCACTGTACTCCTCTTCCCTTGATATATGTCCCTTTTCCCTCCCAACTTCATATCTTAAAAGCAAACTAAGAAAATACAAAATACAGTGGTGGGACACCCAGGACTCCGCAGAGAAACTCTGTCTCCAAAAACCACTACTACTACTGATGATGATGATGATGATGATGATGATGATGAAGATGATGATGACAACTCTCTGAAACTTTTTAAAGGTGAACACACACACACACAAATGCATGGACACAAAATTGCTTGTTACTTCTTTGGGTGTTATTGTACAACGACAAAAAGAGTGATCTACTGACATCAGTGTCTTATTGTTGTTTATTCAACTAAATCAGTCCCTTTAGCAAGAACATGATATTTATTGTTCACTCACTTAAAAACAACAGTGGAACAGGCAAGATGATAGCTCAGTGGGTAAAAATGCTTGCCACCAAGACTGGGGACCTGAGTTTAATCCCAGGGGCCCACATGGTAGAAGGAGAGAGGAAACCCCTCCAAGTCATCCTCTGACTTTAGAGTACACTACCATGTGCACTAGCCCTCCCCTAGAAACATGAAGAAAAACTTTCTTATGTGAGGAATGGGATCCATCTCTAATGAACTCTCTGTTAAGCAGAACTCAAAATGAATTTATAAAATTGTGACAAATTTAAAACATCCGTGTGTATATTTCTGAAGAATTCCCTAGGACTTTTGACAAACTGAGGTAATTTACTGAGGGCCTGCCTGGCATGTTCCACAGTTCTCAGGAGACTCTGTAAAAATACAACCCTAGGGTCTCAAGAGCTTCCCCAGGGAACTTCTAAAGGCCATTCTCTCTAGGTAGGTTCTTCTTGCTAGATAAAATTCAACTCATTTCTGCCAAGCCTGAACATTACCCACTCCTTCTTCTCCCCAAAGCGATTCTGAAGCGTCTTGTGGCTTTAGCAGGACAAGACGAGGACAATAAGTATTACATTAATTCCAGGAACATTAAATTGCTCACTTTCCTGATTCTTATGCCTATTCCTCGACCTTTAAAGGAAAACCTTAAGACTTACACAAACTAACAGGCAAACACAAGGTCCAGGTTCCTACCTGAGGTTTACCATCCTGTGTCTCATGTTCCCTTCTCCTGAAACTGCTCCTTTTTTGTAGTTGGTGTAGCTGACACAGTGGGAAACTATATAAGTGCTAGCTAGGCTTAGTACATGTCTCTACATAAAAACACAAGTCTGATCTACAGGCTGGTCCTTTTACCATCTTACAGTGAGAGGGAGTAGTTTCTAGGCTTCCAAAATCAGGAGTGTTTCTAGCCGAGGTGTATCTCACCTACCCATTCAGTTCTTTGTGAGGGGTACGCCATGCCCATCTGACCAGTGTATCTGTGTGAGTCTTGGGGATACTCCCCCACCCCTGCCACAGCATTACTTATGTCTGAAGTCTGGCTCAGTAAGCTCTCTCTTCATTCAAATTTCTCCTTGGTCTCTATGAGGATTGTCCCCTCACCCCCCCCCCATACACACACACACTCACTGCTTAACCAAGGCATCACAGGTGGCTGGCTCCCCCTACTCAGATAACTCTCTTTAATCACTAGGTCACCAGGCCCCAGACCCAACACTAGTCCTGATGAGATAAAGACAAGAGCACAGGGCACATCGGTCGGTCCCTGTGGTTTCACAAATAGCTAAGCTTCTGACGATGTTTTCAGCAGGAACATAAATAATTATGTTTATCACATAAATAATTTAATGAGTTTTTTTGATTCATCTTGCAAATCAGCCCTGATGTTTAGTTTTGATTCAGTGTGCACAGTTTGGTGAAGGAGCATCATGCTAACCTGTAAATGGACAGGTGGAAAGGCGGGACCTTATAGTTTTAGTACATGTGTAGGATGTGGTTCAAGCCAAAGCTGTTCTTCCTAGAGCTTCAAGAAAGATACAATACAATAACACTGAAACAGAATTTGATCTTTTGCCTTTAACAAGTTGCTGTATTCAATGGGGTGGGGGTGGGGGTCCTACATAGCAATCCACAAGAAAGGACCCAAAACTGAAGCACTGGACAGCTGTATCTGAAGTCTATCTGTGGAGGGTCAGCACACTATCACTTCAATTGGTAAGACACGGAGCACATCTGGGTAGAAAAAAGCCATCACAGATCTCCCAGCACAGACCTCTGGAGAACCCTCACCTTCCCAGAAGCTAGAGAGATACAACTTAAATGACCAGACTGGGGCTTTTGGTGTGAGACAGGGTGGTATAGAGTGTGGTCCTCTAAGCATGACCAGGTTTTCATCAGGATGGCTGTGACAGTCCCTGGATCAGGCCTGTTGCCTGCTGATATTCCCTTTATGGAAAGAAGAGATGGGGAGGGTCAATGCATCTTTGGACTCTGGGTGCTCCCTCACCTGTCAGCTAGTGGTGTGTAACTCTGTCCTATGGCCTTGTACTAGCTAGAGGTACTAGTTAGTGTTTATAAACTGTGAACGGTATGGTTACTAAAGGCAAATACCATTAATGCAGCCACGGAGAAGTAGCCATCCATGCTGTGGTGAGACTGTTCAGTGGGGTGGCTACTTTGGGGTCATCCATCCTCATGTTAGCAATCCTTTACCCTCCCTGGTCTGTAAATGAGCTAAAAAAAAAAAAATTGGTTCCCCAAGTTGGGCTTTGAGAAAATGGTACTTTGGTTTGTTCATGTCCTATGAGAAGGGGGTAGGCATTTGCTTACATCTTCCCAAGGAAAGAGTCCACCCAAGCTGGCCTGGCACTTACTATGTACATGAGGCTAGCCTGATGGTCCTGCCTCGACTGCCCATGTGCTGGGATTATAAAATGTGCATCTGTATGTCCGCCAAGTTCCATATTGTTCCAGATGCTCTAAGGGACTTTAACAGATGATGACTGAGTTTTTAGGGGCTAACAACTCAGCTCCCCGAAGCTGGACTGCTCCCATATGTGTGTGATTCCACAGTGAGGGCCCGATGCTCAACGATTATCAGACCATCATGCTCAATAAAATGATGTCCTCGTGGAAAAAACATGAGTGAACAAATAGAAGCTAACATCGATACGTGCTGAAGTCAAAGTGCCTCGAACTGAAGGTAGGTCACAGGTAAGACCGGAGCTCTGAAGCCAGGCCATCTCACCAGGGCAAATACACAGAGGAGTCAAGCCAAGATGCCAATCCACTGACTGCCCTCAGGCAGTTTTTTGCCCTAGCTCTCTGGGTCTCCATAGCTTTCAACAACCCTGCTTTGTCTAAAATACAAGGCAGTTACCATTTGTATCCAGGGCTGCAAATCACAAAATCATAGCCAGTTTGAAGCAGATCTGAGCCTTGCTTCCTGTGACTCTCACCCCAGAGCCTAAGCCCCAAGTGTATACCTTGTATAAGAGGTAAATCCCTCAGGGGAGAATGAAGAAATCCAACAGGAAAAGCCCCTTCCCTGACTGTTGTTTCAGTTCCCATTGTGTTCACAGTAGTGTCTAAGTCTGGTTTGGTGAAATGCATGTTTTCCTGAATCACGCTTTTCATTGATTAAGCTATGAAGTTAAGGGGAATGGAGGGAAAGTCAATACGCAAGAATCCCACAGAGAACTACGGATGGACATGCAGCTGCCTGCCCTACGAACAATCACTGTGGCACACAGAACTTTCTGAGGTGGCTACCCGGGATGCATCCCTTGTCAAGAACTGGAAGGTAAAGAAGAAATAAGC